ATTATATATAGATTCGGTCATACGCACTGTGTTTTACAAATTGTTTTTCTAGTTCAAGACTTCCACAATGGCTGGTCTCAGTCCAGTTGTTGCCCCTGATTAAAAAAATCATTTCAATGCGGCGCGGTATTTCAACAGGAATGCAGAATGGAAGACAGAAAAAAAAAGGATTTTATTTTTTGTTTATCACAAGGTTACTAAACGTAACGCGCAATGTGAAAAAGTGTAACATGCTTATTTTGTAAAATATCAAGCAAAGGATATTTACTCTTCTAGGCTATGGTTTTAATACGCTTAATAGTTCCAGAAAAATATTAAAAAAAAATTACTTGAACATTATTCATGCAGAATCTATGGGTACAGCTACAATATAGAGTAGACTCAATATCTGGCCATTATAACTTGATTCTGATGTGTACTGGCTTTGTGATTATAGAACTGAAGTGCTATTTATTTAGAAAATAAGAGCGCAAGACTTTACAAACCCGCCTCACCCCCTAGCTTTACAACCCCGCCCCACCCCTTGGCCTTAGAACCCCGTCCGACCCCTGGCTTTACAACCTCGCCCCACCCCTTGGCTTTACAACCCCGCCCCACCCCTTGGCTTTACAACCCCGCCCCACCTCTTGGCTTTACAACCTCGCCCCACCCTTTGTCTTTACAACCCCGCCCCACCCCTTTGGCTTTACAACTCCACCCCACCCCTTGGCTTTACAACCCCGCCCCGCCCCTTTGTCTTTACAACCCCGCCCCACCCCTTGGCTTAACAACCCCGCCCCACCCCTTGGCTTTACAACCCCGCCCCACCCCTTTGTCTTTACAACCCCACCCCACCCCTTGGCTTTACAACCCCGCCCCACCCCTTGGCTTTATAACCCCGCCCCACCCCCTTACTGATTCACATGCCATTACACGAGCTTCTTAGTTTATTTAGTACTTTGAAGCAGAAGTGACTTAATAATTACCAGCTTAATTAGTTTTCTGTACTCTGAAATACAGCTTTCATAATTAAATAATTCGCGTTCTATTAATCTGAAATATTACTATACTAAATGCCGTCATTAGTTTTCTATTATCTGAAATAGTAAAACCAAACTGGTAAGGTAAATATACAATTTAAGACCTTATGTTCAATAAGGGAAGTAAAGATGAACTGTTTCCATGTCCATACGAATTAGGCACATCTGAATATACTTTCCCCAACTAATGCCAGGTACTCCTCATTGCTGGATGAACTCAGGGACCTCCTGCTGACTCAAGCCCTGTATTTTAACTGGAGTCTACAGTCGTGCGCCCTACGACGCCGACCCACACCTTTGTTGGTGTCTCCGTTTATTTTCAACAATCCGAATTAGCGCTATAGCCAGTGACATCCTTAATCTCATACTACCTGAAGTAGTTCTTTAATCCGCGACACCTCCAGGTTTCAACCAGATAAATAAAACCAACCCACTTGTGATAAAGTGCTCTATGCTCTAAAAATTTTTGTTCAAACCGTAACACAGGACTTAACAGTTCCTCTCAAAACTTTGAGAGATAGCGTACTAAGAACCTCACTCTAAACACGTTGAACGAAATGCTTATCATGCAATGACATGGAGATTTCGTCTAATGTGTGTGTACTTAATACATGTGTTGTAATCTTATTCACAAAATAAAAACACTACATGTTTTTGTAAGCACAGTGCGATTTTTTGTTCTGTGCAAGAATGAGGTGAAGTGTGTGATGACCGATTTCGACTTGTATGAGATAAGAAAACAACATATTATACACACGTCTACTAGAGCAACTTGTGTAAGTAAACAGACATACACACGGTTTACGACTACGAGGTGTTTTTGTAATACAATTTTGTTCCAGCGTTACACAACCTTCGGGAAAAAAAAATTATGATACGGTCATAAATATAGAAAAAAAAAATCTAGGCCTTAAGTCCCACTCGAGTGATTGCCCTTTTTCTCTCCCCCTTGTCCCCCTTATTCACCTCTCTCATCATGTTCCTATTGTTCATGAATCGCTGCGTCATTTAGCGCCACAATCCAGCTAGCCCCATGTCTGACTTGACCTACCCCATACGGTTCAAGCAAAGAACTGACCTACCCAACATGGATTGGGTTCAGACTCGACCTACCCCATATGGATCGGGTACAAAAGTTCTGGCGACAGTGGCACCGCACCGGAGACCACATTGTTCGCCCACAGAACCAGGTACCAGAAGGCTAGACTGAGAGAGGGGGTGGGGTGGAGGGGATGGGGTGTAGGCGTTACGACGATCAGGTCGAAAGGTGTAAAAATAAATAAAGGGAAAAAAATTTGGTTAGACTGGAGCTTGATACGTCAGTGAAGAAATAAAAACGTTACGTCTTATGCGGTGCTCGCATTGTGGCGCGAATGGTATAAAGTCGTCTACTGGTTTAATTTGAACCCAGGTATCAAATCTAATGCTCGATTAATGAGTATAAATGTCACCTTTCAAACAGGCAGTGGCATTAAGTGGTGCTTTTTAAACAGGCAGTGGTGTAAACGTGGTTATCGTTCTTCTATGCGGTAGTTGGGACACTTACCGTTCAAATAGACTGCGCTGTACAGTTTTACAGTTCACGGAGGTAGTTCTACAAGATAGTATTATTCAACTAAGCAGCGTTTAAAGCGATATTCGCCAACTGTTTAAGGAAGCACATACAAAAGTGGTAAGGTAACTTGCAGCAACGTTTTTTTTTTTCAAGAGGCCACCTAAGCTTTGGACCTATTTTATGAGCGCTATACCGAGATCCCCGCTCAACAAATTGGATTGTAAACAGACTTATTTCTTTCAGAAGTGTTTATATTCTTAGACCCAGGTAATACATACTTTCTTATTCGGCAAAATATAATTACTTATACTTTTTTAAATTGATTGTCTTTAATCTTGATTTACAAAAAACAACAACAGATTTTTAAATAAAATTTCTTGGTAAAACAAAGATATTGAAAAAAAATCATCTTCTAACGACCAAACAAGTTTATTTAAGATTATTTACTCTCTTTGTTTTTAAAAATCAAACAATTTTGTTGTAGTGTGGCGTTATAATTATTTGCATTTCAAACAACAACAAAGCAAACATCCTTCCTTGATAAAGACTTAAAAGACTTAATTAAATTGTATAATTACCAGCTGTACAGTTAACAATAAAATGTTTTTGTTGTTGACATAAAAAAAATATATTGCACACGGTGGTGTAGGCCTTCGTTATATCAACAAAATAACGACATTCCTGATGGCATTCCTGAGGGCATTCCTGTGGGCATTCATGAGGGCATTCCTGAGGGCATTCCTGAGGGCATTCCTGTGGGCATTCATGAGGGCATTCCTGAGGGCATTCCTGAGGGCATTCCTGTGGGCATTCATGAGGGCATTCCTGAGGGCATTCCTGAGGGCATTCCTGTGGGCATTCATGAGGGCATTCCTGAGGGCATTCCTGAGGGCATTCCTGAGGGCATTCCTGAGGGCATTCCTGAGGGCATTCCTGAGGGCATTCCTGAGGGCATTCCTGAGGGCATTCCTGAGGGCATTCCTGAGGGCATTCCTGAGGGCATTCCTGAGGGCAGATGTATGTTGCTTAGATTATGGCGTACTATGGTGGTGTGTGGTCCACGTCGTGTCCCCGGCGTCTTTGCTTTCTCCAACTCGGGTCGGGTACCCATTAGAACTGAGTAGACAAGGATGTCTCACAGAATCGAGCGCCGGAACTAAACTCGTGATGAATTAATCACACATATTTTGCCTTTTTTTTCGACATTTTATAACTATTTAATTTACCGTATACATAATATAAAGAAAGTATTGTTATTTTGCAAAGAAAAAAATCTAATTCGAGATTTCACAAATTTTGACGTTTTACCCGCTAACAGAACGGAAAAACTTGGTTTTGCATTTTTGTCCTTGTCTGTCTGTGTATTGAGTGCATAAGTTGAGTCCAATTCGAGTTAGGTTGACGAAATTACATATACAGGTGTGATACTAATTTTTTTCTTTGAACTTTTGAACGATTTCCGGTAACCGAATAGGCCTCTATATTTCATGTTTCTCAAAAAATAAAAAGCACGTATACCGGACCGACTTGCTGTAAATGTTTCACGTAGATCAAGACTCGATGACAATACACTGTGACACAAAATATGAATAAATTAGATCTGTAATTAACTTTTAAAAAAGTAATCAATGTTTTCTCTATAAAGTTATAATTTTCAGCGCTACCATACACACATAGTTTTCGTTCATTTGGTGCGAAATTTAAAGAATTTTTATCTAGGAACAAGTTTAGGGGAGATCACTCTATTTTTGTTTTCAATAAATAGTAAAGTTGAAAAATTATAATATTACATCATATATTATTTGTAAAATACAAGTTATTGTAATAAAATTATATTTATGTAGTTTTTATGCAGAGAAAAAAAAATCATTTTATTTTTTTGCAAGTATGTTTATTGGTTAGGGTTTTTTAAAACATAGACTTGCGCACCTGAAATGTTTAGAAATTAATACAGATATAAATAGTTTCGAAAACAACTGTTAACACTTGTAAGGGATTTTGTTTGTGTTAACTGATTGCAACAAATCAGCTTTAAATTTATAGTAATTGTGGGAGTGTAAAAAAAAATTATTGATGTATAGGGTGAGGAGATTTTTTTATTTTAGTTCCATTTTAGCTTTCGAATATTGACGGTCTATTGGACCTCGACGTCGATAGATAACTTTGATCTGCGTGGAAAAACTGGCTGTGCAGAGATAGATGGGCAGAGATGGGCGGGCAGAGATGGGTGGGCAGAGATGGGTGGGCAGTGCTGTATGGACAGAGATGGGTGGCCAGTGCTGTGTGGGCAGAGATGGGTGGGCAGAGATGGGTGGGCAGAGAGGGGTGGGCAGAGCTGGGTGGGCAGCGCTGTGTGGCAGAATTTCTTATAAGAAGCCGTGGGCTCTACCAAACTCAAACATATACAAATCTATTTTCAGCGCCAAAAGAATTATTGACCCATCATGTCTGAGCTCCTGGATCGAAACCCGCCTGGGCAGAGACCTAAAACTCGCACCAAACTTGACAGCGGCTACAGCGATCACGACTCGGCAGAGTTCCTCAGGGAACTGGCTGACTCTGTGACCCATCACCACGATAAGGGTGACACCAATGGTGACCTGAAGCCAGTCTTTGAGAACACGAACAGCAACACTACAGATATAGCTCTACAAGATTTACGGCTGACGGATTACCGGTTAAAAAAGTCAACGGAAAACGGGGACTTCCATGGTTTGAAGAAGGATGTCGAGGAAAAGGATGAAAATCGATTGTTACAGAAATCGGAGATCGATAATTTAAAGGTGTTGAATAACACTGAGGGATACAATGAAAAGCGAACATTGTTGGAGGTATTTGATGAGAAACGGCAAGAAACACATGTAAGTATTGATGTTGATATGAAACAAGGGAGTTGTAGGCGTGGTTGAGTGGTAGAGCGTACGACTGCTAACCCGAAAGTCTCGAGTTCGAATCCGGGTTCAAGTCTGTGAATAGTTATGGGGAAAGTAAAGGCCGAGACCACAGTAAAACGTTCTCATCTTCAGGTTTGAAAGGGAACTTTCTATTAAATTAGAAGGTAGGGTAATTAAAAAAAAAGTAAATATCCACACAATTTTAAAGAAATAAAAACGAGGCTCGGGCGGGTTGTGGTACATAAGTAAAGAGGGTTGTATATTGCTGGAAATAATGATTGCAACCTTTTTTTTGGAGATGAAATAACTTTGTAATTCCTGGGTGGTTAACAGAAAAAAAGGTTGGCTCAAAGGAGAAGTAATTAGCTGGAGTAGAATATAATGTTGTATGTGTGGTGGTATGGGGTGGTTGTATGTGTGGTTGTACGTTTGATTACATGTTTGGTTGTATGTGTAGCTGTATGTGTGGTTGTATGTGTGGTTGAATGTGTGGTTGTATTTGGGGTTACATGTGTGGTTTTATGTGTGGTTTTATGTGTGGTTGTATGTATGGTTGAATATGATTGTATGTGTATTTGTATGTGTGCTTGCATGTGTGGTTGTATGTGTGGTATTTGTGTCTATTTGTACGTCTGTTTTTTTTTATTTACACGCTAGAATAGTTTATCATCTTCAACATATGGCTACAAGTATTAAAAAATTGATGTAAATGTACTGCAAACTAATACTTTGAAGTAAACACTTAACATAAATTAGCATGAACTCCTGCATACATTTAAAAGAAAATATAATCATTGCCTTGCCGTTACTATATATAGTAACTATATATATATATATATATATATATATATATATATATATATATATATATATATATATATATATATATATATATATTTATATATATAATACAATGTGGTTCGGGTTTAACCAGCCGCAAGTGGTTATAGAGGTCGACAAAGGCGCCACCAACCCAGGTTCGGATGTTGACGATTGGAGCGATGAAGATGACGAGGACGACGACAGAGCCGGCTGTGTTTCCAGAACTGTTGTCAACAGCAGGAGACATGTGGCCAAGGCCATGGGCTACCTGCTAGCCAAAACCAGCGGCTACCTGACTAGCATAGTGCTGCTTTTGGGCTACCTGGCTTATTTCATCGCTGCTATGTGCTACAGGTTAGAAGATATCTACAACTTTTTTTTTCAATCACACACAAAAAATTGAAATTTTAAAAAAATATATATATAAAAAAAAAACAACAACAACACATTTATATGTATTCCATATGAAGCAACATACAATACTAATCAGTGTGTAAAACTCGTGTATGCAGATTTGGTGACGAAGGATCACATAGACTGCTAGTGTGTACCATACTGGGCGTGATCATCATCAGTAGACATCACATCTACAGGGGAAGCCACCGATTATTTATTTACATCTACCGATCTAAAGAGTTATCCCCCAGACACCAGCACTTTGTAAAGACGTTTCGTTTTTTCCTGCGGTGGTGAGTTCACTGTTTAGTGTAGAGTGGAGGCTACGTGGTTGAGTAGGTTAGAAGCTGGTGGGTTTAACAAATGTAAAGAGAAAGTTCAATTAATGTTGGAAAATATCATAATTGAACTAGATATTTTTATGCATTAAATAACTACTTACACTACAGTATACTTGTTGTAGTTTTAAGTAATAGAAGAAAAATTTCTTAAATAGAAATGTATTTAAGAAAATTTAGGAGCTTTTTTAAGAATAAATAATATCTCTTATATAACAATATATGCGGTGGAGTTATATATTGTACATAATAGATAATTTCTTAAATATAAAAATGTATTGGTGTACTATTCGATTATTTTAAAATAATAGATATAAGTTTGATGTATTAAAGTACATGAGATTAACAGCTCGGTCTAGCCTGCGAGGTCACGAGTTGGGTACCTAGACACGAGTTTGTAACTCGTTTAATTCACCCCTCTTTCACCCCTCTCCCCCCTTCTTGTTGGATGGGGAAGTAGGTGACTACAAGACTACAATACACCGGGATGAAAGAAAATGCACGAATAAAACCCACGGGTGGTGGTGGCAGGCGCCATGGGTGCACTAAATGTGCACCAGTCTGCCTGGCATAAGTGCACTATACGATTTGCTCGAGACGTTAATGCCGGAGCAAATAAAGAAAAACAAACATTGGGGTACGGCTGGGAGGTCTTGTGGTTTAGCACGATGTACTCTTTGTAGCAAATTACGATACAATGTTTCAGGCAGAAACTTTATTTTAACTGGAATGTTTTTATTCAAACACGAGACTTTTTAAAAAAAAATTAAATTGTTTGATGTTTGTAAATGGAAATAGCTCACTTAAAAGACTACTAAAATATTTCCTTTTTTTTTTGGCAACGTTCATTAGCGCAAAAATAATACGATACACATGCATATAATGATAAAATCGTGAATTATTTAACGAGTTTTTGAAAATTAATTTCTTCCACTATTGCTGTTGTAGATGGTACCCTTGTTAAACATTTTTCAGTAACTATTGAGTACAAATGCACACATTTTGACAAATTCCACCCAGTCACCCACCCATTCGCCCACTCACTCACCCACTCACACACACCCACCCACCCACTCACCTACTCACCCACCCACCCAACCACTAACTCAACCCCCTCACCCACCCACTCACCCACTCACACACCCACCCACTCACAAACTCACTCACCCACCCACCCACCCAATCACCCAATCACACACACACTCACAAACACACTCACCCACCCATCCACCCACTCACCCACCCATTCACATGCCTACCCACCCACCCCCTCACCCACCCCCTCACCCACCCACCCACCCACCCCCTCACCCACACCCTCACCCACCCACCCACCCAATCACCCAATCACACACACACTCACAAACACACTCACCCACCCATCCACCCACACACCCACTCACCCACCCATTCACATACCTACCCACCCACCCCCTCACCCACCCCCTCACCCACCCCCTCACCCACCCACCCCCTCACACACCCACCCCCTCACCTACCCACCCACTCCTGAATACGCCACTGACCCCACAAACTGCTGTACATCCCAGCCCTAACCCCCCCCCCCCTGATCTCTCCCCAGGGCCCTGTACGGCGGTGTCACCGGTCTGATGGCGTGGATCATCATTGACCAGGCCATCAAAGACCCCAGCAACCTGCGGTCAGTCCCTGGGATGGTCATCATACTGCTCATCTGTTTCCTCATGTCCACCAAACCCAGCAAGGTAACACGGAGAATTGATGTTCAAATCTTAAAATAGATACAATGGAAAAAGTATGCAGTTACCCTCTCAGTCTTGGGGTCTATGAAGTAAACTTTGCCCTTTTCTCTAGTCAACACAATGCCAAACCGCGAGTCAGGTGCCCACCAGACTTTTTTCTCCGGGGGTGCATTTGAAATTTTCGGGTGGTGGACTCAAATTTCCGGGGGAGGGGGGGGGGGCGGACACTGTTAAAAGTATATATTTTCTATATAAATTCCATTTCGATGGGGGGGGGGGGGGGGGTAGACTTTATTCGGTGGGGGGGGGGGGCATCCCAAAGAGATGCCTGGAAGAAACTCTGAAGGGGACTCAAAAAAGTACTGCAGACTTAAGCACGGGATTCAACTGTTAGCAGATGTGCGATGTCCTTTAAAAAAAAAAAAGAAATAAAGCTACTATCTTAAAACCTGCAATAAAACAGTAACGTAGCCTCTTAAACGGTCGATAAGATAGGTGAAGTAGAGTTCACCTGTTTCAGTTACGTGTGAAGAATTAGTGTGGTCAGCATTATGCCTAGAGGTCTTTACTTTGTCTAATGTGAATCAGGTAACAATCAGAGCTGGGTGGATACTGGACACTGGAGAATTTAGGGTTCGCGGTCCAAAGCTCTACCATTCGACCACCCCGTCTCTTATAAAACTACAACAATAACTAACAAGTCTTGTTAATCAAAGCGATTTGAAAAGCAAAGAAAACACGAGGCTAAATATACTAAATCAAGAGTGTAACATTACAGCTGCTCATTTTAAAGAAATCATTAAAATCTCAACACAATTGTTGGTGAAAGATACCTAGGACCAGAGGCGTAGCGACCCTTCACGGCGCCCGTGGAAAAACTTTCAATTTGGCGCCCCCTTCGGGAACAACTTTTGAATTTTCAATTTGCACCCCCCTTCCCCACAAACTTTCAACTTGCACCCTTCCCCTCATACTTTCCATTTGCACCCCCCCCCCCATATATTTTTATATTTTTTATAATTCAAAACTGCAGCTAAAATGAGATTTTAATTTGTTTTTCCAACCCATTTTGGCGCCCCCTAAGGTCGGCGCCCGGGGACATATGTATCCCCTTCGCTACGCCTCTGCCTAGGACTCCTTCAGTAGGGTGAATTAAAATTATTGACGTAGTCATGTTCTGTTTTCTACCTGTACCAGGTGAACTACCACACCATCATCTGGAGCCTGGGCCTGCAGTTTATTCTGGCACTGTTCGTGCTGAAATGGCAGTTTGGCAAGGACTGCGTCATGTGGGTACAGACTAGATTCGAGGAGTTCTTCGGCAACTCGGCGGCTGGTTCCGCCATGCTGTTTGGGCCTGGGTACAATGAGCATTACTTCGTGTTTGGGGTAGGTGCTTCCGTTCATCTATAGATCAATCGAACTATCCAGCTATCTCATCATTCAACCATTCAACCATCCAACTATCTAACCATTCAACCATCCAACTATCCAACCATACGGTCATCCAACTATGTAGTTATCCAATCATCCAACAAACCAACAATCCAACAATCCAACAACCTAACCATCCAACAATCAAACAATTCGACAAAGCCAACAATCCAAAAAACCAACAATCAAACAATCCAACAATCCGACAATACGTCAATCCGACAAAGAAACAAAGCAACAAAGTAACAAAGCAACAAAGCAACAAAGCAACAAAGCAACAAAGCAACAAACCAACAAACCAACAAACCAACAAACCAACAAACCAACAAAGCTACAATCCAGAAATCCAACAATCCAACAATCCAACTATACATCTAGCTAGCTATTCACCTATCCAACCATCCAACCGACCATCTAACCAACCAAACAACTAACCATCCAACCATCCATCCATTCTTCCATCCTTTAATTTCTCAACCTAACCATCCACCCATATATCCGTCAACCCAACCACCCACCCATCATCCACCCACCCCTCTGTCAATTACCACCCATCATCCACCCATCCCTCTGTCAACTACCACCCAGCATCTACCCACCCCTCTGTCAACTACCACCCAGCCTACCACGATCCTGTTAACCCTTCCAGGCGCTACCACTACTATTCTTCACCAACGGCATCATGACCCTGCTCTACTACTGTGGTGCCATGCAGTTTGTGGTCAACAGCATGGGATCTTTTCTCAACTTTATCCTGGACACCACGCCCGTGGAGTCTATGGCTGTAGCGGCGGGGACCTTCATGGAGGGGGTGAGTCTTCTAGAATAGAGCTAATGGGTGGAGGGGGAGTCTTTTACAATAGGGCTAATGGGGGTGAGTTATTTAGAATAGGGCTAATGGGGGAGTGAGTCTTTTACAATAGGGCTAATGGGGGGTGGGTTTTTTAGAATAGGGCTAATGGGGGGTGGGTTTTTTAGACTAGGGCTAATGGTAGGGGGGAGTCTTTTAGAATAGGGCTAATGGGAGAGGTGAGTCTTTTAGACTAGGGCTAATGGGAGGGGTGAGTCTTTTAGACTAGGGCTAATGGGAGGGGGGAGTCTTTTAGACTAGGGCTAATGGGAGGGGGGAGTCTTTTAGACTAGGGCTAATGGGAGGGGGGAGTCTTTTAGACTAGGGCTAATGGTAGGGGGGAGTCTTTTAGACTAGGGCTAATGGGAGAGGTGAGTCTTTTAGACTAGGGCTAATGGGAGGAGTGTTTTCAGTAAAGGACTAAGGAGAAAAAAAAAGGGCTAACTGGATAGTTGCTTTTTGATTAGAAATGTGCAATTGGCTGGGTCAGTAATTTAGAATGGGGCTAAAGTCGTTAAAAATTGGGCTAATGGGAGAGGTAAGTGTATTAGTATAGGGCTTATGGAATGGTTAGGTCTTCAGAATAGGGCTAATTAAATGACTTCTAGACTATGGCTGATTTACCTTTGAATACAACGATTTGAAGTGCTATTAATATACCAATGTTTTGTAATACAATTTATCATCATATGACATTTGCATGTAATAAATATGTATGTATATGTGCCTCATCAGATTACGGCCCTGACTGCTTTCCGCCCGTACCTGGGCGGACTGACCAAATCCCAGCTTTTTTTGGTCATCACTTCCTGTTTCTCTTCACTGGGCAGCGCTTACCTGGCCATTCTCGCCAAAATGGGGGTACGTGAGTCGTTCTATTATTAGATGATCACGGGGTACGTGTGACGTTCTATTATTAGATGAACGTGGGGGAGGGCGTGTGACGTTCTATTATTAGATGAACGTAGAACAATTTAAAACTTGACTAATACTTCTACAGTTACATGAAAATAGAATTATTTTTATTATGCAAAAAAAAACTTATACAACAGGGCTGGTAAGTACGTCACCAACCAGTTCTACGGCTCAATAAAACCTGCATGAGCCATAGAACTGGTTGGTTACCTACTTACCAGCCGTATTAGATGAAAAAAGGAAAACTTAACTCACAAGAACTCCAATCGTATAAGGTCTACGTAACTGACAGTTAAACTTGTAATGATTAATTTAAGCATTTATTTAGAATTTCAGATTGTTGTAAGATGTGTCTAATGACTTATTCAGTTAAAATATTACAAATGTACGACCTGTTTTTTTTAAAGTGTGAGTTCATAGAATCAATCAAAATGGTTTCAGATCTCCATCGATCTGATCATCGGTGCCATGCTCCTGTCCGCCCCCGCCACCTTCACGGTGTGTAAGCTGATTATGCCAGAGACCAGCCGGAGGAAAGGTAATCAAGTCAGTGACGTCGGCAACGAGAAAAGGTGAGGATAACGGGAGGACTTAATTAAAACTCGTGGGAAATTACAGCCCTTTTAAATAATGTTGTTCGTAAAAAAAAAAACAACAGTTATCTAAACGAAAATCAGTAAAGCGTTGATATTGTTTTGAAGCAATGTGGATAAACTGTTGGAGAAATAATGGACGGTCATAGGAGTTGTAAAAAAACATAATTTTTAAAAAAGTGACATTAGTTTCTTGGAGACAATCTGGACAAACTATGTAACGCACATGTTGTTTTAACACATGTCACTGTAAATATTGTAATGGTTGGAGTTATCCTGCTCAAAATAAAATACTACAATATCTTCGTCTACTAAAAGTACTCTAAAGTTTTCATATTTTCATCACAAATACTCTGTCTATTGCAGTAGTTTCTCAATGCTTTGTTTCTTTCCCATTTAACCAATACTTAGAGTCTTGGCCAGTCCATGTTCTTAAATCAGTTGTTTTTTCTCCTAAAGCAAATGCAAGTGTCTTTATTTTTGACAATTAAATTTACACTTAAAAGTAAAGATTCATCTTTAGACCTGAAGATCCATTGGGCAGATGAAGTAGAGTTCATATAACTCTTGACCTCGGTATATGAAGGATTATTGATTGTAATCAACATTAAGCCCGGTCGTTTTCACTTTCCCTAACGTGAGTCAGATATCTAGCAGTGCTGGCTAGACTTGTACCCGGATTCAAACTCGAGACTTTCAAGTTAGCATCCTAGCGCTCTAAAAATTAAATTTTAGTCTTCGTTTTCACCACAAATACACCATCGTCGTCTAACAGCGATAAATTCTACCAATGTTGTCCCCCCACCCCTTTTCCACAAGCAAGTACACGAACGCCTTTATCTGTAACATAAGTTTCACTAATACCCATTCTCTCCCCCCCCCCCTCCCACCAGCAAGCACACAAACGACTTTCTCTGTCGCATAAGTTTCACTAATACCCATTTTCTCTCCCCCCCCCCTCACCAGCAAGTATACGAACGCCTTTCTCTGTCACATAAGTTTCACTAATATCCATTTTCTCTCCCCCCCCCCCTCCCACCAGCAAGTACACAAACGCCTTTGTCTGTCGCAAAATGTTCACTAATTTCTTTATTCTCTCTCTCGCTCCCCCCCCACCCCCCCCTTCCAGCAAGTACACGAACGTCCTAGACGCCTTCCAGGCCGGGGCTGTGGAGATGATGGCTGTGGTGGGGAACCTCATCGTCAGCATCTTCGCCTTCGTCTCTCTCATCTCGTGGATCAACACCACCTTCACGTGGTTCGGCGAGAGGGTTGGCATAGAGAACCTCAGCATAGAGGTAATGACGGGTTGTGTTTTAGTGAGGTGTTGTTGTGTTTTTAGTGAGGTAATTAGGGGTTGTGTTTTAGTGAGGTAATGAGGGGTTGTGTTTTAGTGAGGTGGGGTTGTGTTTTTTATTGAGGTAATGAGGGGTTGTGTTTTAGTGAGGTAAAGACTGGTTGTATTTTTAGTGAGGTGATGACGGGTTGTGTTTTTAGTGAGGTGATGACGGGTTGTGTTTTTAGTGAGGTATTTAGGAGTTGTGTTTTTAGTGAGGTAATGAGGGGGTTGTGTTGTTTAGTTGTAACGCCGCTTTAGCTTTGTGTGTTAGAGAATAAGATGTGTTTACGAATAATTTCTTCTTCTCTTCTTCTTTGTTCTTAAAGGCAATATAATATGTTGAAAAAAATTTCCTTCAACACAGTTAAGTTTTGCGCGCCAATCTGTTAAGCGTCCAATAAGAACAATTTAACTTTGATTATTCAATGATACTATGCTATCGTAATGTTTTATCCATACATTAAGCAGGTTATAAACAAAATCACGATGACCTTTACCCTTTTTCCCAAGATGATAGCGTCG